ATATTAAAAGAAAATCATTACAATATTTTAGCTATAACATATACGATCATTATAATTCTTTCAACGTTTCCAAAAAAATATGTTACTCTATTAAATATATATTATGTATTTTTAAAAATTAGTCAGAAAATTAATTAATAATATATAACTAATATTTATTTATTTTTTTATTAAAAGTTACTTCCTCTGTTTCAAAATAATACATGTTTTAAGTTTATCACACTTTTAAGAAAAGATTTCCAAAAATGCAACTAATATTTTAGAAATTTACAATTTTCATTATTAATTGATAAAAAATGCATTGAAAATCTAAAAAAAATAAATCTTTTTGAAACAAAAGGAATACAAAATTACTTAATATGACTAAAGTATATATATAAAAATCAATTATTTTAATAATAAATATTTGCTAACACTTTATGTATCCACCATCATTAATGTTGTAATTATATAAAATAAACAATCATATTAAACATATAATAATTTTTTTTTATAATTTGAATTTCTAAAAATGACTGTAAATTATAAACACTGTTAAAAGTCCCAGCTTAAAAACTTTGTGATCCAATATTTAACTTTTTTATTTTGAAATATATAAACGATCCTAAAACTATATGAATAAAAGAGTCATTTAATATATATTTAAGTATATACCATATAAAATACACAAATATTTTAATTTTAAAATTTACAATGAATTTTCAAAAATTATTATAAATTATTAAAACTATTAAGCGTCTCATATTGAAAATTTTGTTATCACGGATTTACAATTTTTTTATAGAAATATATAGATAATCATAAAAACATAAGATTAAAAATCTTTTTAAATATTATATAGCTATGTTAATATCATTTAAATTTAATTATATCCGTACAAAATATATAGAAATATTTGTTTAGATTTATTACCATTATTATATAGCTGTGTTATTACCATTAAATTGTTATAGATAAACAAAAGTGATCATATGAAAGTTTTTCGCCAGTCTAATTATGTACATAATAGTTAATTCTTTCAATTATTTAAAATATATATATTTATTTTCATAATATATAAAACATAAAATATATAATAGTATATAAAATATTTTTTATATACAATATTCATCATGCATGAGTTGCATGTGTTTAGACTAGTATTATTAGATAGTACATAGGTTTTATATATGTTGACCCACTTTGTCTACTTTGAATTGACAAAAATACACAATAGTTTTGTGACAAAAAGATAAAGAATGTACAAATAGTGAATTAGTTACCAAAATAAAAATTCGACCACGAGAAACATGTTATACATATTGAGCGTCACCTTCTAGTTTTTCAGCCGTTCAATTCCTTAATATCACTACTGTAAAATATACTAGATTTTGATCCGCGCTTGAAAAACGTTAAAAAATTTTATGATTAAAAATTTATATAATTGGGTTTTATCTTAATTTAAAGAATATTTTGATATAAAATCAGTTCACCAAAATTTGTGGTGATGATTGTTTTTCATTAGTTTTTAGTTTCACTTTTTATTTTTAGATTTTAGTTTTTTGTTTTTAGTTTTTAAGTTTCTACTTTTTTTTTCAATTTTTGGTTTTTAATTTAAAACTGAAAAGATGACAACAAATTTAAATAAAAAAATTTGAAATAGTTTATTTTGTAAATAAACAAAGCAAAAAAAAAAAAAATATATATAACATGTGTTTTCAGCTTTTGGTTTTGGATTTTAGTTTTTAGATTTGGTTTTTGGTTTTGCTTTATATTTTTTTAATCAGTAAATTATTTAAGAAAAGTAAAAAAATAAATTATTTAAAAGTTACAATTGAAATTTATCAAAACAAAGTGACTGTTATTTAAATAAAAAAATTTTTACATGTTTTAAAGTACATGATTTAAATAAATGATTAATAATAGATAATTTTGTTTTCTTAAAAATATTAAATACCTTTTAGGTCTGAAAATAATAATTGATTTTTTGATCTTTTAAGGTGAAAAGTTTATTTAATGTTTTTGGAGTTTTTTCTTAATACTAAGCCCAAAAACTATATAATTTGTTCAAAAAATAAAAGTAAGCCCAAGACTATATTCCATAAATAACCATTGATTTAATTTAAGTATAATTAGTAGATTTCCATATTCCATATTTTGATGATATATATTCTTTTAGAACATTACATATTTGTAAGAGAAAATATGTGTTTTTGGTATACACATAGATATCTGCCGTATTTTGAAGGTAGTTTACATTAAGGTCGTCTTTTTACATTAATTGTGTTGGTTTAATTTAAGTAATACGGTTCAATCAATTATATGACTTATATTATTTGTAACATTCTAGAAAGGATCCAAATTTAAATAATAACTTGTATCAGTAGATAAAAAGAATGACTCTATTTTAATAGAGTAGATTGCAGATCTTTTGGATCTATTTCTCTATGATGTACTATCTTCTGTTCTACTAAAACATAAGTACGAAACAATATCTATTTATTTTTAATTTTTTGTACAGATTTACATTTTACTTTTAATTAATTTTAAACATTTTATTTATTATTTTTTTGACTAATCACTTTATTTATTGTATTTTAAAATAGTTACTTCATTTATTATAATCAATTCATTTATTGTATTATATAAATATGGCATCTTTATGGATTTAATTTTGATGTAAAATTTTAAAGTATCCAAATATATCCAAAACATATTCAGATATTTGTACAAATTAACCATATAACCGATTTGATTTGGATAATTTTAATCCAAACTAAAAATAAATAAATAACCAAAAATAATCATATTTACTCGATTTAATTTGGATTTAATTATGATGTAAATGACTTAAAAATATTAAATTAGTTATATGATGACACTATGAAAAATATTAGTTTATAAAAATGTAAAATTTAACACATGTACGGACAAGCGGATCAATCTTTAATACTTCTTTTATTTCGTTAAGTTTTACATATTCTAAGAAAAATTTGTTTCAAAAAGATTCTTTTTATATTATTATTAAATAATAATGATTAATTGTAAACTTCAAAAAATTTAATTACACTTACTAAATTGTTACGGGTTTAAAATTTTGGGAAAAATATAATCACAAAATTTTATGCAGTTATTAGATATTTTATTAATGTGTGAAAAATCTAGAATATGCATTATATTGAAACAAAGAGAATATATTTTTTTTTAACGTGTGATTAAGATTAGATAAAATTAAGTTTACTTCTATTTCTTCGCTGTGTTTTTTGTTATCACAAATTCCCTAAGAAACTGAAATTATTTGTTACTTGTATGCTTTATTGAAAATCTTGAAAATGGATTCGCTGGTATTTGAAGACTGCACTTTGAGTACTGTCAAGTGTCAACTCTTTACTGATATGCAATATTCATAATAGTCTTAAGATGATGAATATTCATCAATTTCAAAGAAAAGTAAGATCGTGATTGACAACAAAACGATTGTCAATAGAAGCTGTTTAAAACATGTTTACATTCCAGCTGTCTATTCAAGAAAGCCGGCCAAGAAGCTGTTAATTGCCCTAGAAGTGCACAACTACTAATCAACAGTCATAATTGTGAACAACAAAATTA